GAATTCAGGCCTCTTTGCGGACTACACATTGAAAGGAATCAACAACTGGCTGCCTTATTCCCAAAGTCCAAGGCCTTACGCCATCTTTAGAGAGACTGTATATAGTATAATGTTAAGATATCTTCAGAACCATCCAGAGCTTCATCATATCAAGGCAGCTGTTACTGTGATATTTTCAGTACTATTTCTTGTTCCGTTTTTGTTTTGCAGTGTTACAATATAGACACGTATTGTATAGGCTAACGACTACACTGTGTGTGCCCTTATCAGAAATGGATTTCGAGGAATCTGATATGCTGTCATTTCATGAAAACCATGGCAGGCACACTTTCAGTCATGAGATTTTTTTGGCATGCTATACTCCCAGCTTGGATAAGAATATTAATGGTATGGAGAAGGCTTACTTACATAAAAGGCTAAAGGCTGACATGTATGTTTTGATGTCATCTTGAGATCAAGAGGAAAAGAAATTATTATGTTTGCTGAGATCCAGCCTTATTTCCATACCAAAGATGATCTGTTTGAATAACATAAGAGATTATTACACTTAGAGACACTCCTTGTAAACATTAACAACAACGGGAAACGGGCAGCCTCGGAGATATAAAAAGAGTTTTATTGCATTTGAGGAAAAGGATTAAGTTGCATAAATCTTATGTACAGTATGTAAATTTGTGAAATGGTCACTGTCCTATGTTTTATAGGTAACCATGGACCTGAAAGCATGTTGAAACCATCACTGCTAGCCAGGTAGGCTATGTGATACAGTAGGATGCTTGCTTGAGTTTTTGGCTATTGTCAATGTTGTATAAGTCATGTTTAAGCTCCATCTGTAAATAGGATAGATACATAGAGATTTGATGTATCAAGACACTATATTATGGCCATTATTCTAGCTAAGTATGTGCCATTTAAAAGAAAAAAAAAGCTTAACAGATCTATAGTCGGCAAGATACTGTATGTTGTGTGTTACATTTCTGGCTCAATGTGTCGTAAAAGTAATGCTGTCTGGTCTCGCTTGCTGATTTTATTTTTTATTTTTTTTCTATTCAAAGATAATAGGTCTCTGCAGTTGCAGAAGTGATGTGTGCTTTGAGCAGGATCAATAGCATGGTATATTGAGAAAAAAAAAAGTTGTGATACTGTTAGCTGGTTGCAAACATCTCTGTGACAGACATTGTGCTCGAAGCCTTTCAGCAGACACTGGAAAAAAAAAACTATTACTCATGTTTCAACAAACTTTGGAGGTTCACATTATTGCACTAAATTTTTATGACACATGGCTTTGCCACATCTTTGTGGACAAACGTAATGATGGATGCCCGCAAAAAAAAAAGAAAAAAATTTTTTTATGACAAAATGAGTAAGGAAATTAACTGAATTGTCAGAAAATGACTAATTGTCTTGTAGCAAAATGTGCATTAATCTCAGTGAGATACACATTTCTTACTCATTCTCATACATGAGAATATAAAGCATTGAGGGAAAAAAAAGTTAAATAACCTTTTAAAACCTACATGCTCATTATGTTGATAAATGATTGTACGCACGCATGTGTGATGACTTCTGTTGTACTTTGTATTCTTGGTAACCACTGTCTTCTGTGATTTGGGCAGGTTCTGTTAACCAGACTGGCAGTGCTAGTTTTATGAGTTACATTACTTTTGTTGTGCCGTTTACTAAGTTAATGTTGTTCTATATGTTATGTTGATGACTGTTTTTACATATTCTTATTTTGCTAAATGCATTTGTGAAGAAATTTAACATTTTCTCTTTTTTTTTTAACAATAAGGCACTGATATTTGAATTTGAATGAAGGAAATGCACCTCTTTATGTGTACAGGAGCTCCATCAAGCAGTGACTGATTCTTTACCTTTGACTGACCCAGAACCAACTCTGTTTGACTATCTTGTCCATTTCTACCAGTAGAAAAAAAAACCCTCCTCTGTGGTGTTGTCTGGTGTACTGCTTAATGTACAGTAGCTTGTTAATATTGCAAACGCGTTGTTTCTTTTTTCAATGGAAAGTACTCACTGGTGAGATTTTTAAAGTGGTTTTAAAAGCCAATAAACTTTTTTAAAGAATGTTCTTGTGTGTCTATGTGCTGATGATTTTAAATTTTATTGCAGTAAATAAAAAGGTGAGAGAAAGTGACTTTCAGGACTTAGTTCTCATTGTAGTTTAATAATAGAAATACTAGACATCAATAGGTGAAGAAGGATCTGTCTCCAATACAAATGTTGAAAAACAAGAACAGTTTTGATTGGACTGTCCCCCCAGCTTATGACAGGATGGTATTGATTTTTCCAGACATTATGCTAATACTGATGTTTATTTGCCTTTGTTCAAACATGAGATTTTTTTTATATTTCAGCTTTCAAGTCTATGCAAACGCAAGAAAACCTCTCCATCACCCTCTTGACACAAGGTTAGAGGTCATCAGCTCTTCAAATGACCTCTGAGGTCAGTGGGGGGTGGCCTCTCCTAGAGACAAGCTCCAGCCAATCAGAGCCCAGTTCGTTGGTCCTCTGCTCGGCTTTCCCAGGGCCTCGTGATATTCATAACATGTTAATGACCTTAACCCTATTGATCATGGCCAAACAGCCCAACCTCTAGCCATGTGGAGCACAGCAGTAACCTCGACCTCCACACCACAACATTTGACAACGTGAGTCAACAGATTTCACAAGGGATACATGATCATGTTTCCTGTTTGTATACAACATATCAATAACCAAACAATGTTAAACTATGGTTCCTTGCCACAGCTAAAATCATCACTGGAGCTTTTGTGAGAATAACGATTCTTTTCAATCCACAGAATTAACATTTCTGTTAACTGATGCATGTCAATAACTGTTATCTGAACGCAGCAACACACTTACTAGTTGAACTAGTTAAACTACAATGTAAGTGTGTTTCCTAATGAAGAAAATGTAACTGAATACATAATCGTAGATGCACACGCTTCTCCCTAACTTTAGTATAAATAATGAAATGATCTCAAAATCTAAACTACTGAGTAAACATATTACGGGATGATGTTTAGCTGACCATCGGTTTTTAGTGTTGAATTATAACTATGAGGCTTTAGATGATTAAATCAATAGTTAGCTCTAATCAATACATAATTACACTTTGCTCTCCTCATTTGATTGGATATTGAAGTGTGGTTGGTGCATGTTTGTGACAGTAATCCCTTAAAATCATTACACAACCATTCATAGATATTGTTGAGAATAAGAGTTATATAATATCTTTTAGAAGGCACATCTCCCGGTCTGAATGTGATGACTGCATTTACCTGCACCAGTGGATGTGTGTTTTGCTGATGCAGCATGGCTGATCTCACAGCTGGAGCCCATTGTATTGCTACTGAATGAGGGCTGGGAGACGGGAGGGTCATTGTCAAAAGGCATGGTCGCTGGATCAATATCTGAATTAATTAGGCAGCTGACTTGCAGCCATCAATACCTCTTCATAATTACCAGGTTCTGTGGAAGGAGCAGATGCTGTTCAGTGTGACCTTATTACCAGTGGCCCTTGGTAACTGATAATTTACTATGTTGATCTTATTTTGTTGTCTTACACAGCTGATAAACAGAAAAGAAAAGATCTCACTAAGCTAAGTTACGACAGGGGAAATCAGTAGCTGATTACTAATCAGTTTGTAGTTTGAAAATCACTGTATGAAGGGATTTTGTCTATGGACCTTTATCTGAGCTTGACATGTAGGGCCTATGTGCACTTCAGTTTCATATAGTGTGTTAACAATTTAACTAAAAGAAGTGAAAACTCTCAACTTAAGTCAAATCTAGTCAGTTTCATTCATATAGTCCAAGATCAGAAATTTGTCTCGCCTGGCTTTACAAATTATAAAACATACCTCTTCCTTGGATTTGGATGAGGACAGACAGTAGTGAAATAACAACATTGAGAAATACAATGATAATATCAGCTAAATTAAGAAATGAAAAATGTGGGTCAGAGAAAACAAGCAACTTTTAGGTACAGTTAAGCAAGTTGGGCCTGGACCAGAAAACCTGTGCTCAACAGAAAAATAATCAATTAGTTCTATTATTATATTAATTTCATGGTTTCATTCATTTTTCAAGCAAAAATAGTGAAGCAACACCAAATATTCTCTGATTCCAGCTTCTCAAATGAGAGGATTTGTTGCTTTTCTTTGTCATATATGAATGTAAACAAAATATTTTTGCTGCTGGATTGTTGGCTGAGCATAACAAGACTACAATAAAGATGTTTATGGAGTTGTGATGTGCAATTAACAGTTAACAATGAACAATTAACAAAAAACAATTAATCACAAAAATAATCAGCAGATTAATCGATAATAACAATAAGGCAATTCAGTCACATACAGCAGTTACCACAGACACACATTAAGTGTGTAACATACATAGGGGAGGCTAAACACAAGGATATAATTCAGGAGGGAGTGCATTAGGCTACTTCTTGTGTGTGAGCACTTTTCAAAGTTCACAGTTATTTATGTCAAAGAAAAAAATGTGAAGATTATTAGGCCACTGAGACCAAGTTTGGTTATTGTAGTACACCTGATGAGCTGCCAGTTCCGGCTCCAGGTGAGGGTCTAAAAGGAAAGAATCAGGCTGCATCAGTCTGAAGGTGTAGTGAATCAAACTGCTGTGGAAAGTTTCCAGTTCCGCATTCTGAGAGAGGTTCCTCCCGGGGGCCCCTGAGGTCCCCGGACCCCATTTTGACACACACACACACACACACACACACACACACACATACACACACACACACACACACACACACACACACACACACACACACTTGCGTCTGGCCTGTGCTGTCAGCGCATGCGCTGGAGGGTGGAGGGGGTCCCCGGCTCCCCCCGGTAGAGCTGCTGGTCCTCCGCTGCCGGCAGACGTGGTTTTGGGGATCTACGGACAGCACGCAGGAGAGCGGCGGTTCGAGGTGGAGAAGAAAAATGACACAACAGTCGTGATAAATGGCGAAGTTTAAGATGAAAGTTTACCAGCAGTGGCTGCTTTTTGTTTTGTTTCTTCCTTTGTCAAGTAAGTGTCTTGTTTTTGTTATTGATGTTATCGTTGTTACTAAGTGTGCTGACCTGATTTGTGCTCCGCGGACGGACCGTCGACTGCCTACGTAACGATAGCTGCGGAAACAGACACATATTTTGTTAAAAGATAACGTTGTTTTTGAACCACATTGACTAAGAGGAGATAACAAGACAAGTTGTTTAACTTTATCTGTGTACTTTCTATGAGTCTAGTGCTTCACTGTCATTATGTCAGTTACGTTACGTCGGTTTGGATGCTCACCACCTTCATGTCCGGTGTTTATGACAGGCAGCAAATATTAAAACTCCTCATTGTTTACGAAAGATAAATGTTTTTCTTCTCCCTTTCTTTCTTTTTATCAGGATAGCAAATTACATATTAACTAATACAGCTGCTATTACTTTAATATTTGTGTGAAGACATAACAGTGTGTCTAAGAAATTAATGTTTGTCGATAACATCATTCTCTATGGTCTTTTCAAAATCTTTTCCTTCAATAGAAACATAGTTTTCCTTAATACCCCTGTAGTAGTTAATATGTATGGTGTGTCACAGGCTACATAGTTATTGTTGTTGTGCAGCTGTCTTTAGTCTTCTATTACTCAGAAACATAATACACACTTTAATAATGTTCCTGTTGTTTTCCTCTAGGTGTTTTATGTTTCAGCGAGTTGTCCTTCATCACAGAGCCCAGTGATGTTATTGTACTACCAAAGGACCCTGCTGTGTTGGACTGTCAGGCTCATGGGCAGCCTCCAGTCTCAATCAAGTGGCTGAAGAATGGGGTTCGGTTGGCAGAAAGTGAGCACATACAGTTTCTGCCCAACGGCTCCTTGTACATACCAAAGATAAAACATACCAAGGAGGATTCAGATGAAGGATTCTACCAGTGCCTCTCCCAGAACAAATATGGAGCTATCCTAAGCCAAAGATCACATTTGACTATCGCAAGTAAGTATGGAGCTCAGAGTGAAACGAATCCTCATGGGTTAGCATGGACTTTATTCCTGTTTTCCACTGATGGGACCAAGTTGGAGTGGGTTAGACTTGTTGGTGATATCCACTTTGTAGTGTCAACATGCTGGCAAAAGAATAGCAAGTTCATGGGTTATTAACCTGGAGATGGGAAGCAGATGTACCTCACCCCTCTCTCTTTTTTTTACTGAGTAAAAACCTCTAAAGTCTGGGTTTCCATGTTCAGACTTCGCCATGCTTGAGTTTAAAGCTGTCAGTCCAGTTATAGGAACATTTTAAGAGACAGTTAAAGGTAGATGGAGAGTCAATCTAAAAGCTCATAAATACACAATAAAAAGGTATCCCTGAGTCTGAGTACACTATCTCATCCTTGTTTTGAGGGAAAATACCACTTGAACATGTATGGAAGAGCTCAGGAAACATTGGAAAAAAGTTAAAAATGAGCCTTCTCTCTCTCACATGGTAGTGGGATTGCATTGTCACTGCAGAGCGTGGCTGTGTAATTGCTGAATGGTCTGCTACACAGAGGAATCTCTGAAAGGCCATTTGCCTTTTAGCCTTTGTTTGGAGTGCCCCTGACTGCTCCAGAAGAAAAGGCTAGGTTTCCAGGGCATTTGTTTGTCCACATATCAGTGGTCAGGACAGCTGTGTCTATTCACTGGGCCTGGCCTACCATGGCCACTTTCCACAGGTCTTAGAAGGGATATCCCATGACTGGTGTCATGGAAACAAGCATGGCCTTCTGAAATATACTGATTTTGACAATGACAATGACATTTTGGGAAATGTGTCCTGATACTCAACAGAACAAAATGATGAAGAACTAGATACAACTATCATGCAGGAAGAGATTTATAGATACAGAAATACCAACAGGAAGATAAATCTGAGCAGTTTTTTCACACACCAACTCTCTAACAGTCTTGTTGTGACTGTTGCCAATCTATTGATGGGCAAGAAAAGGTTTTTCTATTAGATGACCAGATAAAAATCCTCAAAAGTCAAGTTTGACCTGGTGTCCAGCCTTTGTCAGTGAAAGGGTTAAAGGTTTTTGGTCAGCTGTAGGCGGGGAGTGGAGGATGGGCCTCCTCTCTGCTCCCCTTCTGTCCAGAGGTCCTGGGGGTCATGGGTCAGTGGGGAAAGGCTTTGTGATGTCACAGGCCTGCTCTGCCTGGGCTGTCCTGCTGTTCTCTCTCCCAGCCCACAATCCCTTTCACTCGACCAGTCCCTCTGTTGCCCTATCAAGCAGAGCCCTTTTGTAAAAGAAAGGCCAGTTTGTCATGTGAATGAGTGGGCCCGATATTCCACAGTAAATAGTGTTGGTCCTTTCAAAACACGTTTACATACAGGAAGTATTTTCCTTGCAGTGGTAGGACTACATCACCAGTTTCAGCACCTCTTAGATTTACAGAAGGTGTCAGATATCTGTCATATATTTTTTACAATATTTGCAAAATTAGTACATATGTGCTTTGCCTATTATAAGGTTTTACTACTATAGCATTTTTAGACGATATAAACAACATAAGACTCACAAGATTCTTTTTTGTGGACCAGTGATAAACTGACTTCGATCTGCTGCCCAGTTTGGGCTAAAATTGAATGGACAGGGGGTTGAAGCGAACTCTGACCTCTTTAGAGAAACCTTTGTGCTGTCTGACCTAGACATTGATTCGTTCTATACAACAGAGGTGACCAAATTAGCGGATCAGTCTGTGCAGACCACACCCACCATCTACGTCTCTGATCCCAGCAAGATAAAAGCATGGACTGTTCTCATCTCCCAAAAGAGAGTAAACAACGTATTGTTTTAAATTTCTTACCAGATGCTTAGGGCTGTTCATGATGCTCACCAGTCAGGCATGTTGATTGGAGACAGAATAGGGGGGTTATTCCTGACTTTCTGACAATACTGACCTTTGGAAGATAATAAATATATTTTGGCATAGGATTTGGCTGTCATGTACTAACCCTACACCAAAACATACTGCCATTTCCGAGGAATACCTTACAAACCAACCACAAAGGATCATCATATCTTATCCTGGTGTAGGCTAAACCCCTAATGCACTTCACATAAACAGGGTTGCCAGTTTATTTGTGTAATATTGATGAGATTAGGTCTTAAATGAAAGGATTGCTCTTTAATTTGAATCCCCCAAAGCTCAGGATTTGAATGTGGCGTTTCAGTGGGAGTACAGGGTATTGATTTTCTTTAACATGATATTGACTTCCTTCCTGTGAGTGAGGGGGAAGGGAGAGAGTTATCACCTTAATGAATGAAGGTCACTGGTCATATCTTATAGTGTGCTTCAGATTGATGCAGATTGGGGGTTGCTTTATTTGTGGTGATTATTGAAAGACCTTTTGACTGCACATAAACAGAATGTGACTCAGCAAACTGTGCGGAGCTATTTAAGCTATTGTAAAGCAAGTATATTTATACTTAATCGGTGTCTACATATCAGGGTTTAAGTAGACACATTTACATTATATAATGGGTCATCCATGGCTTCTGCAAGAAATAGCTTTACTTTTGTATTACAATATTGTTGTAGGTATTTTCTATTCCTAGTGGTTGCTTGCAGTCCTTCTTATCCAAGCTAAATTGATTAGTTTTTATCTATAACAATGCATCATTCACTGTCATTCTTCAATTGATCCATTGATTGGACCAGCTGGTCAGTATGGGACCTGATAGCTCATCTATGCAAAAGCAAGATGATGGTGTCTTACAGAAATCAATTCCTTTCATAGAATCAGTTAACATCCATCAAAGTCAGGGCTTTGCATGCATAATGTATAATGTTTTACCAAAAGGGGAAGAAAATGTTATATTTAGTGTATGGCTATCACAACTGCAAAATAGGTTTGTGTAAATGATCATGTGAAATATCTAATGCAGTAGCCCACTACTAAAACAAATACCCATTAATGGCCCAGTATGTTAATAAGGTAGATTATAGTTGAAATGATGCTGCTGATACTTCCGGCCTTGTTTGCTAATTAATTTTTTCCACAGGTATCTCAGAGTTTGTGTTGCATCCTGTGCCTATGGCGGTGACTGAGGGGTCAGTGGCACGGTTCTCCTGTGCGGTCACCTCCAGCCCTCCTGCCACCATCACCTGGGAGCTCAACCAAAGCACGTTACCACTACAGACGGACAGGTAACCGCGGACACGTCATTTTAGACACCATCATACAGTTATCCCCATTTAATAAACTTCATTTTGTCAGGTATTTGGAGCCTGTTTTTATGTTGCCAAAATATGTTGCCTAATGTTACCTTTGTGTGTTTGTAGAATTACCGTTTTGCCCAATGGAGTCCTTCAGATTCACAATGTACAACTGGAAGATGCTGGACAGTACCGATGTGTGGCAACTAACATCGGTAGCCGTTTAAGGAGTCGAGGAGCCATGTTAACAGTCAACCAAGGTAAAGAGATTACATCTGATTAAACCATGATACTGGACATAAAACTATCACACTGTTTAGACAACTCTGAATTAATTTTTCAATATTTTCTTTTCTTGTGAAGGTGCTGGTCCTAAACCACGTCAGAGGCCCAGAATCATTGCTGGACCTCAGAACGTCACAGTTTCTCTTCATCAAACTGTGGTGCTGGAGTGTGTGGCCACGGGCAACCCCTGGCCCATCATCTCCTGGAGCCGTGCTGACAGTAAACCCATTGATGTGTACAATGCAAAAGTGCTGGGCAATGGGAACCTGGTTATTAGTGATGTCAGTTCCAAGCACAGTGGAGTCTACCTCTGCAGGGCCACCACCCCTGGAACCCGCAACTACACTATTGCTGCAGCTAACCTCACGGTTCTAGGTACTGTAAACTCTTAAGTAGTTATAGCACATGGGTCCTTAGACCACATCTTCTGCCTAAATCTTGTATTCCATATTCCCATAGCAAACCAAAAGCTTTTGCAGATGTGAACAAATTTTTATACTTTTATACTTTTATAATAATTAGTCAATGTCTGCTTGTAGAGAAACTGTTAGGTGCAAGGTGCCAAACAGTTAATGCTTTGTCTGTTAATACATAATAAGCAATAGACTCTGTTTTCATTACTTTTGTTTTACGCCTCTGTTTCAGAGCCACCATCCATTGTTGAGAGGCCTGAGAGCCAGACCCGTCCAAGAGCAGGCACTGCTAGGTTTATGTGCCAAGCAGAGGGAGTGCCCCCACCACACATCAGCTGGCTAAAGAATGGAGAAGAGGTTCACTTAAATGGAAGGATTAAAATGTATAACAGGTATTGTACAACAGGAGTAATGGTCTCAATCAAACAAAAATAAATAACATCAACTTCCCTAAGTTGATTAAATTGAAATGTCTTGAAGTAACTTTTCTTTGATTTCTTGTACTGATTTTTATTGTTTTTTATTGGTTCACAGTAAATTGGTGATTACCCAGATCATCCCTGAGGATGATGCCATCTATCAATGCATGGCAGAAAGTGAACAGGGTTCAGTGCTGTCCCTGGCTCGCCTTATTGTTGTCATGTCAGAGGACAGACCCAGTGCACCAAGAAATATCCATGCTGAGACCATCTCAAGCTCTGCTATCTTACTGGCCTGGGAGAGACCACTCTACAATGCAGACAAAGTCATTGCTTACTCCATCCATTACATGAAGGCTGAAGGTGAGACCAAGAGGAAGAACCAGTTAGTTATGTTTGAGGCTTTGCATTTGAGGAAAAAAAAAAATCTGTTGTGAACTAAGAAGGATAAAGTTGTGAAGAGATGAGAGATGACAGTCGACGACAATAAGCAATCTCACTCTCTCACATGTGATCAACTTTCCTTGGTGAAGGCCATCTGTTGATGCTGCACAGAGCAGAGGTCAAGGAGGACTCAGAATGGCAACTTCACTGAAATAACAACAGGCTTAGTCAAGCCATTGTCCACTCCCCAGCTCATTCTGCTCACAGTTAAAGGGACAGGGCAGCTTTTTAAAAGCCTCGCAGTCTTGCGAACTTGTAATGTAAGGAGATATTTAACTTTATGCATTGAATTGACAGTTAGATAACTCTATTAAGTCAAGTCTGCCTTTGTAGTAAACAGGTTTTTAGATGTTTAATTAAATTTGCTTCAAGAGGCCTGGAAGCAGTTATGTTGCTGTGCCTAGCATTGCACATGTTTATAGAAAGGATGATTGACACACAGAAACTACAAGCATCAAGACTTTCAATACACGGACTGTTTACATGGTACAGGCTTGACAGCCTTTCATAGAAATGTCTTCTTCTTTGGATAATCTTAACTTATTTCCTAACTTTCTGATCTGTTGCATGTCAGGGCTAAACAACGAGGAATACCAAGTTGTTATTGGCAACGACACGACCAGTTATATCATCGATGACCTTGAGCCAGCTCGAAACTACAGCTTTTACATCGTGGCTTATATGCCAATGGGAGCCAGTCGTATGTCAGACCAAGTCAGTCAACATACCCTGGAGGATGGTAAGCATAGAGCATTGAGCCTCCCAGCATTCCATGCAATAAATCACTTTGGTAGTTAAGCTAACATGCATGCAAGTGGTGTGTATTCAGAGCACATTTTGAGTGGAAATAAGGGGGATGGGCGTGCTGTTGTTTACACAGTTTTCTTGTATATTCTACTCACTAACAGGAAATTTGTGTGAATAATAGATAGAAATATGACAGTCTAGCTTTTTGCCAGCAAGTTTGCATTCTGAAGAAATCCATAACCACATCAGTATCAAGTGTATCTGTGATGTCCTTGTCTTTCTGCAGTGCCTTTGCGTACCCCAGAGCTTAGTCTGACCAGCTACAGCTCAACAGATATCCAGGTGAACTGGCAGCTGCTCCCAGCTAAAGTGAGCCGTGGTCGGGTGTCTGCATACAGACTATCCTATCGTACAGCTGCAGACAACACTGTCACCTCTGTGGAGCTACCTCAGAATAGCACTGAATATCTGCTGGAGGGTCTGCAGCCTGATACCATCTATCTGCTCCGTATGGCTGCAGCCACCCGTGTGGGCTGGTGTGAGCCTTCAGCATGGACTTCGCACCGTACACCTAAGACCTCCAGTAATAAAGGTAAACCTGCAGATGGCTGAGATGGAAATGTCACGATATTTTGAGAGCTGGTGTTACAAAGTAATATGTGATTTTTTTCGATGCAATCTCATCACACGGTTGTATAGAGCTTTTTTCACTTAATTTCTTACTAAATTTTCTTGCAGGTTTGAATTTATTTCATTGGGTCAAAGGCAGGGATCCTCTATAGAATAATAAAAAAAAAATTTAAAAAGTACATTGTATAGAGTAATAGAATCACATGGTGGCAAACTGGTAACTGGCTGTCCTTTTGCTTTTGTCACATCAGTGTTTTTCTGCTCTTAGAATACCATGGGGGTCACTAGAGCTCATGCAGAGTGGCCGGCTTATGACTAGACTTTGCTCTTGTAGCATTGTCCCACAGTCTTTGTGTTGGTTACCCAGGAACCTTTGCCCTTCGCTGTCAGTGATGTTAGAGCGGCCTCAGTCATGGGTCATAAAGAGAGGGCCTCAGGCGTCTATGTGGGGGAAAGAATAGCCTCTTTTCATGGCCTGGTGTGTTGGGGGAGGCTGTTTGTCCTGTTCGTCAGACTAGTGCGGACTAGAGAGACCAATACATGATGAACTGATGAAGCCGCTTGGATAAGAGGCGAAACGTCTTCCACAGACAAATACAAGTCCAGTTGCCTTCGATTTAATTTGAGAGAGAGAAGTCCACCAAAGCTCGAATTCTTGTTTTCAGAAGTTTAGTTATATATTTAGGCATACGTGTTGATCACAGAGTATTCCACATTTTTGATTTGAGGACAGTGGTTATTGTTACTACAAAGCTAGCTGCATATTTAAAGTGATTTTCTTCCAGATGGCAGCTGAAATTATAACAAACACCTGAAATTCTCAGTATGAATTGACTCTTTCAAAAAACATTGTCTTAATGAAGTGATGTTCCATCTACCCAGCTTTTCCTACACCCAGTATGCTATTCTTTTTTGTTGTTCAGGGTTTAGTCTTCCTTTGTGCTCAGTAATATTCTAAATATGAGTGTTTATTGATCCCATGCCTGCTGTCCCTCCCCCTAGTGCCTTCAGCCCCTATTCTTCAACTTGAGCCGCTTAACTGCACCTCCATTGTGGCACGCTGGCAAACCTCCCCAGAATCTGTGGCTGTCCAGGGTTACCGGCTGTGTTACCATGAGGAAGGCCAACCAGAGCAGCCCAACATCCAACTGCAGGCTCAAACCTTTACCTACACCATCAGTGGCCTTGGTGAGTGATGCACTGTTGTTGATATAGCTGACAAGTTGTGGGGTCACAGGATAATGGAGTGAATTAAAAACATAAGATTATATTTGACTTTTTCAGCACATTTCTACCTTCTAGACCTGTGTTGGGGTGTGGACACTACAGAATGACAGATTACTTGTCTTTTGCACTGCCCAGTTTCATTCAGTGGGCAGTTGGATGCTGCATTTGCATTTTCACCCTCTGTCCTGGCTGAGCCCTCTTGCCTAACCAGAAGCCCTCTCCAGTATTGTGTGAGATCTGGCTCCCAGGGTTAGAGGTCAGGGTCCAGATGTCCCTCCCACCACCAATTCCCATCCTGCAGCTTGCATAATTACCCCTGGCCATTGTGTTGTATCCAGGGCCAGACCTGCCCTTTAAGACTCTGGTCACTACCCCCCTTTAGCTGGACACTGGAGCACACAAACAAAGACCCCTGGGATTGGCCAGAGCTGGTCCGAGCCACTGACCTCTAGCCGTGAGACAGCAGTCTTGGTTTAGGACCCCACCCCCGCTGGTCGTCTGTGCTGTCCATGTAAATAACCCACAGCAATCTATATGCAATATAAACCAGGGCTATACTGATCAACAATATATATATATATATATATACAGTATATATATAAGTTCACACAATCCTCTGTTTATTCCTATTTAAATGCATCAGTAATCACTTTTGACCAGGTGCAATGATTACATTATGTGTCCCAATTACCCAGGTGAAATGAAATAAATGACATTGTCACAATCATTTCATGGAAAGAGCTAAAATATATTTTATTCCAACTTTATGAGCAACAGCGTATATATATTTTGTCTGATGTGAGCCTTCAAGCACAGTTTGGCTCCAACTCAGTTCATAACCAAAAAGTTGAAATAGAAACGGAAAGATTGTTAGAAACAATTTTCTAACTCAAATGTTTTTGTAGTAATTACTTGCTCAAAATGTAAATCCTTTTTAGTATGGTTCTGTATCGGCGATCACACAAGCCACCGTCACTGGTTTACATAGTCCATAATATCATTGTTCTCAATATAACTTCTGTTTTGGAGCCATGTTTTTTTCAAGTTGAAGGCTATAACACAAGGCCAGTAGGAAGAATGTGAAAGGGGAAACAAAAGGGGCCCAGCTCCTATCCCACAGTTCTGCGCCCAGATTCCTTCTGTTCTATCTTAGCCTGACCTGGTGACCCCAGTCAACCCCCCCCAGTCCCATGGGCCTAGGATCCCAGCAGCTGAACACTGCCCCTGGCCCAGCCCCCACAACAGGCTTGGACACACTGCCTTCACTGGTCAATACCCATGCACTGACCTTTCACACTGGAGGCATAAAACAAATCTTAACACTCCCTAAAAATGTCCTGATTTAGGGGTTGGGGCAGTTGTAGTCTTTTTTTTCAAATCCTAACCCCTATACCTCATTGATCTCTCTGATGCCTTTGAGCCAGTCCTTGATACAGTCTTTTGTGTCCATAATTATTGTAATTGCACAATACAAAGATCACATTTTACCACTTCCATCTCTTCCAAAGTTAGTTAGTTAGTTTGTTTTGTGTTTAAAGCACAACCTAGTGCTAATAGGGTTTTATAGTTGTAATATCTTCTGTAATATCTAGAATTTCAAAGTATCATTTGTTTGTTATTGATCATGTCACCTTATTTACTGTGCCTTGGGGTTGGTGTATCTTTCTCATGCTCCTTACACATGACAACACATGATAAATGAGAAGTGGTTGTGACTCAGGAGACCGTGTATTGTCCATGCATAGGAGATTGCTAGTTATAACCTCCAAACTTCCCCTCCTGCAGCTAACTGTCAAAGTGTCACTTTGCCTTGTATCAAAGGGATGCTGCTCTGTTTGTTACCCATCACTTTTGGTATTTTAATGATGATTTTTCAGGCTTTGGCATTATTAACCAAGTTATTTAGCCCCTATTGGGCTATTCATGTGAAAGGGTTGTGCAGTTATTGTAATGTCAGTTTGAGCAACCTTCAGTTGTGTTTGAAAATTGATTATTTGTATTCCAGATCCGAGGAGAAAGTATCATGTGAAGATTCTAGCTGTCGGTCAAGCTGGAGATGGTTATCAAACAGACCAAACAGTCAGTACTCCGGGATGTGTGTGTAAGTACAGTTCTCTCTTTGTTTTTTTTTTTCAGAATTTCAACTTCCAGTTGAAATTGACATAGAACCTCTTCTCAAATTAAGAAATGTGATGAAAATATACATTTTGTTTTCGTCATTCAGCGGCTAGAGACCAACTGGCAGCAGCCCCTCCATCTCCAGATCACGTGACTGTCTTGGCCAACAATTCATCTGCAGTGTCCCTGCGTTGGAGCCGTCCTGCTTTCCCCTCCGGAAAGACTGTTAGCTATACAGTCCGCTGTACACCTGTGGGCACCCACAACGCCTCTGCCATACGCTACATACAAACGTAAGATGAGAACCAAAATCAATTTAGTATTTTACTCCTGGCATGAAACAAAACATATTTTTGGTTTGGTTGCATAGGTATTACATGTTTGCAAATGATGTGTGGATAAGGTTTATCATTGGGTGTTAATGATGACACTGGAGTTTAAGCTTACTTACGCTTACAGTTGTACATTTCATACACTAACTAGCTCTGGATTATTCCTTGCCCAATGCTCATAATATAAGAATGCTGTTTGTTCACAGTACCAAGCAGAGCGTGATGGTTCAGAATCTGGACTCAAACACTCGCTATGAGTTTGTTGTGCGTCTCCATGTGGACCAGATGTCGAGTCCCTGGAGTTCTGTTGTTTACCACCGAACCCTGCCAGCAGGTAATAAATTGGACATTACTGTAATATAATTATGCTGCATTCTGTGTACCCCACTGTTTCCTTTGTGGTGCAGACTCTAAGTCATGTTTATTATGAACGTGACTTCTCTGTGTACAGCACCTAGCCACCCTCCTGCAGGACTGCGAGTAACTCTGATTGAGGATGACACTGCTCTGGTGTCCTGGAGGGAACCCACAGAGTCCAATGTGGTGGTTACACACTATACCATCCTGTACGCTTCTCAGAAAGCCTGGCTGGCTGGACACTGGCAAATAATGCAAAGGGAGGGTGAGTAGTACACTTGATCACGTAAATAAAGTAAGGATAAATAAGGTAACTAATGAAACACTATTATCCCCTATAGTATGAGTATGTGAGTGTTTTTGGGCAATTTTTAAACAATAATAACATTTAGATTTCTGGAAGCTCTTTAATACATTTTACTTTGCTCAATGTTATTCATTCTACAATACCTAAGATATACACCACCAACCACATAGGGACATTCTCTCACCACTGGCTATAGTGGGTTGTGTATCACCTGAACCCTGCAGCTTCAAGCGTACCTGTCATAGGGAGCTATAAAAATGATATATGCTTTCTACAGCGCAACATTAAGTGCACCAGTATTAGTTTCCTCAAGTTCTAATTCTCACTGTCTGATTCTGCTGCCATTTACAGGAAGCCATACGATGGCCCTGCTGGAGAAGCTGGAGCCGGGGAACGTATACCTGGTGAAGATCTCTGCCTCCAATCAGGTCGGTGATGGGCCTTTCTCTAACATTGTGGAGCTGGCATTGAAGCGTGGAAACACCCACAGGAGCAAGAACCCCAGGCACTCTGACAGCTCCCCGGACACAACAGGTAAGCATCATGAAGCACTGAAGCATACATGAGGCGTCTCATCTTGATGGCTTTGATTTGTTTATTATTATTATATTAAAATAATGCTATAACTCTGGTATAAGTGTATAAGTGCTTGAATTGAAATGGAGTGAATTTTCCATATGGAACTTCTAAGGCCGCTTAGGCTTAATTTGAGTCCATCTCTATGTAATCTCTGCTCTGCATCTTGTGTTGACAAAATTGCATTCTGTTGTTTATTGCTGTACATATGTAAAAAACCTGTGATTCCGACATTAGTTTATTAATTAGATTTATCATGAGTAGTAAGAGTGAATGAGGTCTCCTCTCTGGTAGGAAACAAACCACCAGGAGGCGTAGTTCAGCAACACTTCTTAACTCTGTTAATTAATGACAAAAGAGTGGGTCAGTATTGGCATAATAGAACATGGAGGTTTTTGTTTTTAATAAAAAAAAATTCTCTATTTTTGGACCATAAATGTGAGTTTTAAATGAGTTGTACTCAAATTTCAAGTTAGATTGGAAATCTTGTTTTGTTTTGTTTTTTTTAATTATTAGTTTTTGTTTATTGAATTTTTTTTTTATGTTAGTTATAGTATTTTCATATTTAAGGTAGTAATATGGAGAAGTTCCTTGTTTTATTCTGATAAAAGCATATTGTACTTTTTAACGCACCTCTAGTCCTGCACACAGTCCAGTGCTGACCATGAACTGCAAACAACAACAGTGCCCTACAAAGGCAGCGAGCAGTAACTACAGAAACAGTGAAGTTGAGAAGGGTGTCTGACAAACTGTGTAACAGTTAGAGAAGTTGTAATGCTCCCGTCTTTTTAGGCTGATTATTGATTACACATTATCATTGGCATCAACAAAACTACAATATACAAATTGAAAGACCTAAACAAAATTGGATACTGCACTCTCCCTTTGGGTAATTCAGTTTTATTTGTATAGTGCCAAATCATAATATACATTATCTCAAAGCACTTTACAGGGTAAGGTCAAGACCTTAGAATATTATAGAGCGAAACCCAACAGTTCCCACAGAGAGCAAGCAGAGAAAGTGTAGTGTCTATTAACAAAATGTGTTCTTTCAGCTTTCCTCTTTGTTCAAGAAAATAAACTTTAGTTTGATTATTTTGAGTTCATAGGTTTTGGGAATTATTTGTATTCTGTTGGAATCAATAAAATAAATGTAGTTTTATCTACTTGACAGAGTTCTGTGACAGCGTGCAGTAAGTACGTCAGTGGCTTCTAGAGTCCACAGAGTGCAGTAACCACAGCATGGGCAGCAACAGAAAAACCATGATGCCGTAACTGCACAGTCAGAGTGCAGTTACTGTGGTTTGGTTTGGTTTTTAGCTCTGCTTTGTAGTTACTGCAAATTTACATTTTTATGGCATAATAATTTTATATATAGACAGACATCAGATTCTGGTCTTAACTCATACTTACATATGTAGTTAGTACATTTTGGCCTGTTGGGAATACATAAATGTGAAGTTTGGCTAAACAGCAGTCTCTAGGGTGAGAGTATGAACTTCTGTTATCTCTCCCCTGTATCTTAATTGTTTCCCATAAGTGCAGCTAATGTGTAATTATGTCCCACCTGAAACACTGTGTTGTTTATCTTCCAGTGTACTCTGATGGTCTGTACCATATAGACCAGAGGTCAATGACAGGGATCATTGTTGGTGTGAGCATCGCCTTGACCTGTATTGTTATGTGTGCCTTGATCCTCATCAGCAAGGGCCGACCAAGGTACTGATTATAATCATTTTGAAGTAATTAAAAACAGTTCATTGTTATATTATCAAACATAAACAATGACATTTGTTTACATCATTATCTTTGTATGACTAATAGAAAATCCTCCAGCCACAAAGTCGTTGCAGTAGGCGCTGGTGAAGGTCCAGATGTTGGTATGTCCCTGCCCAATGAGCACCATACAGAGAATGTCGAGGCACTTATACCCATGATAAGTCGCCACTTTCTAGATGCCAAGGTGAGTAAAACAAAACGAGTACACGAGGAAATGGGCTTCTGATGACTACTGGTTTCCAAAATAGAATTTTAAGTTCCACATGTTGTGCATGTTTTTTTTAAAAGAGCACAGAACCATTGAAAAATATTTCACATACATATTTCACGTGTTCTAGGGTGGATCTAATATGGTCATAAATAGTGCCGGTCCAGTCAGCAACAAGAATCAAAGCAAGAGGTGGCTGCTCTTCAAGAGGGAGACCAGGAATCCAGTGCAAAGTGATGTAAGTGACATTATTCTGGTCAAGCAGATTTCTTTTTAATCAGATTTCTTTTTATCTTAATTTCTATCTCATCATTTTTTTTAATCTCCTTAGGTGGAGAGGAGAGCCAGTTTGTATGAGACTGGCAAAACTGTTCTGAGGTATGACGAGAATTTAAGCTCAGCGCCCCTGCCTCCTTCTTCCCGGGAGATCATCTATGGACCACTTCACTCGGAGAGCTCTCACACCAGTGAGGGCAGCCAAGAGACGGGAGACTCTGGACACTACTCCAACGAAGAAAGCAACGAAGAGATGAGCAACCCTTCGTCAAGCCAGGGCTCCAGACCAGAATCTTTTGGGGAAGATGATGGTACCACTGTTGCTGAGATGAAGCAGTCTTTTGAAGTGGAAAATGAGGAGATGTTGAGTCATCCCGCCCATCATTCCGCCCCTGATGCTTCCCGGCTCTGCTACACCTTGGAGGGCTCTCATCCTGCCCTGCACACGTCCCAAGCAGCTGGATCCTGACATCACCCGGCCTGTTGTCTGCTCTGCAGCAGCCGAAGCTACAGCACTTCTTCCTTGTTTTCTTCCCGAGTTGAGCGACATGGTTATTTCCTGAGGCACAAGGGATCAGGAAGCCAGCTGCTGGGATGGAGGAGATGTGTTTTTGCTTCGGATCTACCTCAGGATTTTGTATGAATGTTTATTATAACATTTTATTTCCTTTTTTTTTTTACAACTTTCTACCTGTTTACCTGTGTTTGGCGTTGTCTGTCCTAAACCAAAGCTCACCCATGATGAATGTTAAAAAGAATGTCAGAAATGTACTGTGATACATTTTCATTATATTTAATTACTTTCCACTGGAGTGAAGGGTGTCGTTGAGCCCTTTTGACTGATTACCTACCTCAGTGTTCTGTTCTTGTATGTTCATTACTACCTCCTTTTCACCACATATTGTGCAGTATTATCTCAGACTCAGGGGACAAGGTGAAAACATTTCATTCTCATGTCTTGTTACCTCTGTTGGGGCATTATTATCTAGAGGTCCTCATTTTTTAAATTCCCTCTCTTCTATTTTCACGGTTAAAAGAGCTTTAGTTTCACATTGTTTGTCTTTGAATGATGTATGCTGTGAAAAGAACAAGTGCATTAGATATTGTCAAACTATTTGAGCTTTATACTATATTGTTTGACATTTTCAGTGCACTGAACCCAAAGCTTTAATATGGCCTTAATATCAAAAGGGCTTTGCATACTATAGATAATGAGATCCAAAGACAGAAAGAACTGTTCTCAAAGAGTTTTTGATAATACAATAGATATTATAAGGCAACCAAAAATATAGTGGATGTACATTAAGGGTGTGTTTGCCAAAATATTGTTCTTGCCAATGATGTAAATTTCGCTTAGTATGGTGGTTTGAATGCTTTTCTCAGTGTAAATTTTCTTGATGCTTTATTCTGGTGAAAGCTTTAGCACAAGTCTCCCCGGCTTGTGTTCCATTTGCCTTCTCAACCATTGCTAAACGCAGCGGTGATGCCGGTGCTATTATCCAAAGAGTTGTCTGCTTCCTCAGATGGGTGTGGCTTTTCATTCAGTTGATCCTTGGTATTATGAATATTCACACAAGACCAAAGATCCAGTGTGTCCTGCTAGTGACAGATGATGATGATATTTATTCTATGTTTATAGAATCATCTGTCACCGTTCACCAATATTGCTGTATGGGGAAGAATTCATTTATCTCCCCATTATATTTCCTGTCCAGGTGTGACAATGAAGGATTCTGACTATCATAAAGGAAACCCTATGTGTGAAGAGCAACATAATCAATTTTTATATCTTTGTAATACAAATAATCCTAACCAAAGAAACTTTTAAGTCTCTGTTATTTAGTGATTTTCTTTGGTTTTCATTTACATTATTTGAATTTAAATGTGATAGATTTACAATGGTTTTGATTGCTCGAAAGGCATTTCACATAGTACTTTTTTTTAAAAGCTTGAGATGTCAAAACTGTTCTGCTGCCTTTTTATCACCAATGAGATTTCACCTGAATGGTTTGTAGGTTACATCAGAATTTTAAATTTAGATTGTCTTTTTAGCATGATGTTGTTAACAAAAACATTTCCCAATTATAATGTGACATTTTCTTAAATTAATAAGACTGGTTCAAGTTAATAGTTGTCTGTGTAATGCATTAATGTAAAAGGTTCATTTGAAAGCCACAGGTAATATTTGCTGACTTAACTCAGGTGCCAAATGTAGATTTAGAGTGTAGACTTAACTGTTATTATTTAAGTTATGGTTTTCTGATATTTCTGCTTTTGAATACCAAAATACAACCTTTAATCCAAAGTGAGCAACAAAACAAATTATTTTAAGTGCTGAAATGTTGCAACAGATTTTTTGATACTCTCAAGATGATCACAAATACTAGATAATAAAATTGTTCATGGAAAAATATATTTTGTGTTGTATTGTCTTTCATTGGGTTTATTGGCAAATGTTTGTCTTGTGTTTAAGAGAGAATGAGCGTTTTTATTGAAAAGTTAAAAAGTACACCCTGACTGATACTGGATTTTTGAAAACAATACTGATATCAGGTTTTAAAAACACAGTAACAACATATTGGCCAATATTTTCTAAATTCATTTATTTTTAATATTAATACATAATCATTATATACATACTGTCAAACACAAAGAAAGCCTTGACACAAACATCTACAGCCACCAGCGAAGAGTCTGTTTCGATGGCGTAGCCTGAAATGATGGGGAGGCCAAACTTAGCAGCTAAAGTTATTGAAACTGTTTCATTTTGATAGGAAATATATATTCAATGGCCAATCTTACCAGCTAATGGTAATAACATTTTTTATTTTACCTAAACATTGGATTTGTGGTGGCCAAAGTTTGCAGCTAATGTTATTGAAAATATATTTTACCTAAATATTATGATTGATGGCCAATTTAGCAGCTGAGGTTAGTGACATTTTACACATTGCATTCATTTTAGACTCATTATGCTGTCATAATTTTAATTTTTAACTTTTTAGAGGGCAAAGCTGATAGGTAAAGTCACTGTCACTGTTTAATTTCACATCATTATTGAATCTGATGGCCAGAATTAGCAGCTAATGTTACATTCACTTAATATTAACATACCATAAAATGCTTCCCACCATGTGTCTTGTGAATCCCAGAACGCAAGATGGATCCAGACAGTTTGACCATGGCCGAGCAGGAAAATTAACAAACGAGCACTTATGACAAAACACCTTTGACCCAGCATGAGCAACATAAGTGTATGTTAAAATGTTCCACTTGTGCAGTACATACATACAGGCAGTGGAAAATATAAAACGTCAGAAGTAAACGTTAACAGTCACCGGCGGGTTAGTGAGATGTGTTTATCCCTGAGACTCCCAAGCAAACATGACAAGTTTAATTCCAGGTTGAGCCTATATTGAGCCTTGCCATTTCCTCATAGAGCACTAACATTTTCAAGAAATCAATCATTTGTTAAACACTGAACAATGACCGCCTTATACCATTTTTGTTGAAAAAGGGATAAATGTCATTAAATGAAAGAGGGAGTCGCTGCTACAATTGACTGTGATTGACTCACAATGGACAAAGAATCAATTTGTTGCAACAACTTGAACTTAATGAACGTAGTAGTTTTCCATCTGTTAATCTATCTATGTTATGTTAAAACATCAGGGTCCAGGTTCTTAAATAGGTTGTTAACAATTATACAATTAGGCATTTTAATGAACTGCTGGAATGTACTGCACTGGAAAAAGTGGATATAATTTGCTTACTTTGACCAGTATGATTGTGAAACTGGTATTAAATGTCTATGTGGTATTAAGAAGTTTTGAATTTTTGAACTTTCTGAACTTTCTGAACTTTCTTAAGGTGATCGTGAGTTATATGTCAGCAGGAAAAGATTCAGTTGGTATTATTCAAATCCCATGAAAAGACTGAAGTCAACAATGTTTTGTTTGCCCCTCAGCTCTGTGGCTGAAGATGAAAAAGCCCCTTAAACTCCTCTGATCTGATAGTCTTATTTTGTCTACCCCCTGTGGTGTCTCCGTTATATCTCCATGTCGAAGTGTGGCCTCTCCTCTCTTTCCTCTCCCTCTGTCTCTCTCCTGTACAGCGGCCCTGCTGAGGCGACAGCCATGATTGCATTGAGGCGTGTCAGAGAGACAGAGCGCTGCTTCAGCCTCGGTGGGGGGACTGGCTCATTGGTGGGGGGGTCTGGAAGGTGGCAGTACCTCTGGCCGTCCTCATCATACTGATACAGGCGAATGACGCGGCTGCGGCGGGCCGGACAAGGTGGGGAGGACCGTGCTTCTCCTCCTCCACCTCCCATGATGCCATTTTTCACTGCGTCCTCCTCTTTTTTACTGTCAGTCTCCTCGTCTTCTGTTTCTGTAGATGATGGTTGAGAATTGTCTTCCTCCCACTTCTTTTCTCCATCATCTCCCTCTTTCTCCTCTTCCCATCCTTCCTCCTCTTCCTTCCTCTCATCTCTCCCTTTTTCCTTGTTATCTCCTGCCTCGTCCTCACTTCTCCTCTCCTCTTCATCCTCCCAGCTCCTATTCTCCTTCTCGCCTGCCTCCTCCTCTCTCCATTCCTTATTTTCTTCCCTGCTCTCTCTTCCATATTTCTCCTCTTCATCCTCACTATACTTGTCTTCATCTGTTTCAGTCCGACTCCTTCCACCTTCTCCTGATAGATAGAAACTACTGAACTCCACCTCCACCTCCTCCGCCACCCCTTCACACCCTTTACTCTTTTCCTCCAGACTTCTTCCTCCATCCTCCTCCTCCAACCTTCTCTCCTCCTCTCTCATGTAGTCACATCCCTCCAGATATGCAGGGGTTTCCTGATGCTCCTCTCGTTTGTGCCTGAAGCTTCTCTGAGGTTTGGCAGGGGGAGATGAGGTTGTTGACGAAATTGTCGTCTCCATAGTTATGTTTTCCTGCACCTGTCCCATCTCAAAGGCCCTGTTGTCGTACATGGGTGGCATGGTTGTCATGGTGACCTCAGAGCCATGGCTCGATGTGTCAGTTCGGCATCGTTGTTGCAGTGATTGTACCCTTGTAGTGACTGCCCCTAAACACCTGAGAGGAAATGAGAAGTGGGAATTTTTAATTACTATGTCTTACATTCAAGATATGTGCTTTATCATTTTGATCATTTCTAATAGAATTATGAATTGACTTTTTTGTGGTTGTATTGTGGCTTTAATACATTAATATCTGGTTCCTTTGAAAATATTTTATTGGAAGTGAATGGAAAACTATCCATATCAGTGTTTAAAGCTACACTTGACCACCAAGGTATCTTCACTCTGGCCAGTAGAGAAGAGTTTTGAGTATTTAATGACAAAACATCTGCCAAGTAATTGAACAGAATTGTTGTCAAATTAGGAATATGATCCCAGTATGAACAAAAACTGGCGTGTAAGGGCCCTAAACACACCTGACAACATGAGCTCTGCTCAGAGCTCCAGTGCTGAAGCCCAGCACAAACGTCAGCAGCACTGATGCTGCCACAGCTCCTGCAAACAGCCCATCTGAAACTCCTGCCTGCCTCTCCTTCCCAGGCCCGACATTCCTCCTGAACCTGACGGTATCACAGCTGCTGCGTTGCTCATATTTGCCACGATCTTGGTTCTTTCGGTTGTTAAAACCAACATGGAGCTCATATGGCCACAGTGTAGTTCCCTCTGTGTGCTGCAGGAGGCAGTAGTACAGGCCGC